GGCCGAGGAGGAGGAGCGGCAGGCGCGGGAGCGCATGCTGGCGACGCGGCGCGCGGACGGCGCGGAGGGCGCGGAGGGCGCGGAGGGCGTGACCCTGCAGCGGAGCATCACGCTTTTCAACGGTGTGGCCATAATCGTGGGCACAATCATTGGCTCGGGCATCTTCGTGACGCCCACCGGCGTGCTCAAGGAGGCGGGCTCGCCCGGACTGGCGCTGGTGGTGTGGGCCGTGTGCGGGGTCTTCTCCATCGTGGGCGCGCTCTGCTACGCGGAGCTGGGGACCACCATCACCAAGTCGGGGGGCGACTACGCCTACATGCTCGAGGTGTACGGCTCGCTGCCCGCCTTCCTCAAGCTCTGGATCGAGCTGCTCATCATCCGGCCCTCCTCCCAGTACATCGTGGCGCTCGTCTTCGCCACCTACCTGCTCAAGCCGCTCTTCCCCAGCTGCCCGGTGCCCGAGGAGGCCGCCAAGCTCGTGGCCTGCCTCTGCGTGCGTGAGTACCGGCCCGGGGTGGCGGGGGGTGGGCACCGAGCCGCGGGCGGGCCGGTCCCCGGAGAACCCCTGTGAGCCTCATTCATTCGCGGCCACCTCATCTTGGGAATTGGGTGGTGAGTCAGCAGGGCCCCTGCCCTGCTCTCGGGGAGGGCGGAGGGGGTGTGTGTGTGTCCCACTTCCTCACCTCGTCCATTCATGAGCTGCGCGTCCGTACAGTGTCTGAAAAGCGCATTTCCTGTTTGAGGTTCCCAGTGCTGACTGCTCAGACAGAAATTGTAGTTAAAGAGAAAATCATTCATTTCTGCTCTCGAAACCGGCTTATCAGGAATCGGCCGAGGCTAGCTCACGCGAAACCAGTACTAACAGAATCCTGTGGTGCCCCTCTGGGCAGCGGTGTCAAGAGTAGTTACAGAGGGGTGGTTGGCTGCAAATTAAATGTGTGTGTGTTGGGGGTGGAGCGTGGGTTTTGGGGATCCCAAGTTGTGCTGGAAAACAGCCCCTGGTCCTCTCCCTAACAATGGGCATGGTCTGCATTATGCTGGTGGATACAGTCCCGGTGAACTCTGAGTGCTTTGCCAAAACAGTTTTCTGGTGGGATTTCAGAAAAAAATCGTTTGTACCAAACATCATGTGATTTTCTTCTCTTTTTTTGGCCGTTGGCACTTTTTACACCTACCCCTTGGCCAACTTCTAAGGAGCCTCGCAGGATGGAAGCGTCCTGTTTTCAGAGCTGCCACCTGATGTGAGGATTTGCCTGGATGTTAATAGTGCATATAGGTCCAGAGCCAGCAGGGCTACGTTCAGGGTTGGGGTCCTGGCCTCGAAACTCGGGGACTGTGCGGTTACTAGGAGTGGCTTCTGATCGGCAGTGCCCTGCTGGTGCTGTGGGGATTATGGAGTGTGTGGACCAAGTTTCCTGCACGAGCCACACTGTAGTGTGGGGACAGGCACGTTTCATAAAATGGTGAGTCCAGAAGGCAAAACCCAGGGCAGCTCTGCTTGGCCGCCTGACATCACACGCTTTCCCGAGACCCTGAACAGAGCAGCTACGCCCGTGAAGGAGCATTATTTGCCTTTTTTGGGGCGGTCTCAGGATGTGGATCTCAGCTTAAAAAAAAAAAAAAGCATTTGCCCAAATGTAGGAGGTCGATCTGCTTGAGGACAGGAAGACCTGTGGTTTCTGGTGGGGCTTTGAGATGAGGGTTTTATGGGACGACACACTGGTCTGAGAAAGGAAAAGCCCCTCTAAAGGCAAAAGGACTTTTTATGATACGATTATAATAATCGTATAATCTTATGATTTAATGTTTGGGCCCACTATGTAGGGAAACAGATGTCTTTTTCTTTTTTTTAAGACTATTTATTTGTGCGAGAGAGCACGTGCACAAGCAGGGGTAGGGGCAGGGGGAGAGGGAGAAGCAGGCTCCCCGCTGAGCAGAGTCCATGTGGGGCTCGATCCCAGGACTCTGAGACCATAACCCGAGCCAAAGGCAGATGTTCAACCAACTGAGCCACGCGGGCGCCCAGATAATGTCTTTAAAGGCCTGTTCTCTCTCTAGTCTTTAGAAGTAAGTACCTTTTTAAACTTTCAGGTTTAAGTAGATAGATTGCAGAGGGACTGCGGTGGGCCCACCACCTGCCCCACGGCCCTGTGGCACTGCTGGGCCTGGCCAGGAGGGGTGTTGAAGGCGCCCTACCAGTGTGAGTTGTGAGTGGGGGTGATGTTTTCCATGTGCTGATCAGCCTTTGTGGCTCTTCTTCCCTGAACTTCCTTGGGAGTGTGTTACGTGTGCCTGGGTGTGGGTGGCTTTGTCTGAGAGGAAGAGGATTTTCAGTTACAGAAAAGGACTCCCTGTCTGCCAGGAGGAGCACTAGTCTAGAGCCTCACTGTCTGGAAAGGGACAAGGGCTGGTCCCAGGCTCCCAGAAGTCAGAGCTGCCCAGCGGAGGCTGCTCTGAACTGAGCATGGAGAACGGTTATGGGTTTCCAGGGAGGCAGGCCCGCCCTTGCAGGGGCATCTGAGAAGGCCGTGAAGAGCCACAGACAGTTTGAGTGCCCTCCAGGTATCCCACAATGGCTGGGTTCTAGAATTTCTCCCCAAGAAGAGGAAAGGTGCTCTGTTCTGCTCTCCGACTCGAGCCCATCCCTGCAGCCCCCGGCTCCGCAGCGCCCCTTGGGAGGGCCCGGTGGCCCGCTCCTTCCAGTGGTGTGTCGTGGGTGCTTGAGCAAAGTTCTCAGTTTTGCTGGTTGGTCTTTTCAGTGCCCTGGACATAATCCACCACAGTTTCTGCTTCCTAAGAAAGGCTGTTCTGAAACAGGTCGCCTTTGGTGCTTAGTATGGTCCTGCCGGTAATATATATGGGAATAAAGCCCTTTTCTTACAGGTCTGACCAAAACGACCACTATGGGGCCCTTGTCTAGTGTGGCTCTGGGGTTTCTCCGTGCACGTAAAGGCGAGAGAAACTCGCTCTGTAAGTCCTGATGGCCATGTGGGATCTGGCGTGAGACCAGCCTTACGTTATTGCTAAACCAAAACCTGGTAGTGTTTGCTTGAAACTACAATGGCGCTGGCTTTTACTTTTGGGCAGAAGTCACTCGGACTGGAGTTGAGATTCTCGCCAGCCTCAGTTTGCCTCGGGCAGTGTACCTCATCTTCCTGGGCCAGCTTTCTCTGTAAAATGGGTCCATCGGCCTCTGGAGGGGCCCAAGCTAGGAGCACAAAGTGCGAGTTGGCCCAAGTCCAGAAACCTGCTTGGGTCCTTTGTGTCAAGGGAGGGGCTCTTAGAAGGGTCTGAAAGGGCCACTTCTCCCTCTGCTGCGTCGTGGTCACTCCTACCCGACACAGGTGTCAGGCCAGGGGCTGCAGACGGCTGGGGGCCCACCCTCCTCTCCCCGCTCCCTGTTGGAGGGGGTGAGACTGGGCCCACTGGGACAGCATGGCTTGGACTCGCCAGGTGCTTACAGAACTCAGGGTCCCCTTCAGGGTGGTGGCCCTTCGTGGGGTCTGGAAGGCACTTCCTTCTGCCTTCTCATGGGAGACACACGGGGTTGCCAAGGCTCCCCTCAAGTGGGTTAGTCCCGCACCACGCCCCTGGTTCGGGCAAATCCGTATGAGGTGGGGGTCAGTGTTCCTCCGCGGTCCTGTGACCTGAGATGTTTTACACCTGGTGTCAGGTAGAGCATGCGCTCTGCATGGGAACAGACCAGGGTTCTGCTTCAAGAAATTCGCTTGGGCCTCTCAGCACAGTTCCCACATCCGTGGAGTGGGAACTGGTCACAGCTCTGCCTGGGTAAACGCGAGGACTCTCGGCCACGACGGGTTCATCGAGCACGGTGCACGGGGTCCCGGCCACGTGGTGGCTGGAGTTTATTCTCAACACCACCCTCTGTCTGCTGTTACCTTTCACATCTTGAGCTGCCCTAGAACTTGTTCTTTTCCAGTTTAGCAAGGAGCAGGAAGGAGAGAGAATGGCGAGAAGGCAGGAAGAGCCAGAGGTGAATGCTGCTGTCTCCCTCTCAGGCTGGGGTCTGAGCCGCGACGTGCCTGTCCCACAGGAAGCAGCCCCTTCCCACCCCGGGGGCAGGAGATTGGCTGTCCCGTAGGTGAGGGGCACAGATCAGGAACGGGTTTGGCTGGCTGTGGGTCAGGGCTAGCCAATGTGAGGCTAAGTCAGTTGGGGTAATGACCAGAGGGGGAGGGGAGGCCATGGCTATACCCCCCAGTCTTCTAGTTGACCGGCTCTTCTCCATCAGCTCCAGGTGGTGACCACTCCTGGGCGTGTGAGGTGCCTACACGATGTGTCCACTGTATCGCCTGGTTCAGGGTGTCTGAACACCTGCCAACTGCCAGGGCTGGGCCCGTCTCTGCACGAGGCAAAGGCTTCTGGGTATTTCCAAGTTGCTGGCGACCACAGAGTCACAAGCCGTGAGCTCAGTGCAGACGACAGCCCAGTCATTAGCACTGAAATCTGACTTTCCCAGCCAGATGTGAACATGCTCCAGCCACCGGAGCAAGTCACGCCGAGTCACGGGACTGGAGCTCAGCCCCGTGGGGTCCTTCACAACAGCGCATGACCTCAAGGAAGCAGGAGATGCTGGGTGGGCATTTCTAACCCTTTTCCCCTGGGTCACGGACCCCTTTGATAATCCAATGGAATGTGCAGACTCTGCCCAGAAATGTGTTTCAGGCGTATTAACTCCAAAGTGTGCATAGTCATGAGGTTCTCACACCCCTGCCCCTCAAGGGGGTCAGAAATGGATCTGACGTCTCCTGGCTGCCGTGCGCTCGGACTCACGCCTCTCCTCACATGCTCCTGCCCAGCCTCTGAAACCATTGTTGTCATCCCTCTTGTTGGGAAACTGAGGCAGTGGTGGGCTGAGAGCCCACTGCCCGTGCCGAACCACCTTTTGTCCTCGCGTGTGTGGGGACACACGGCCGCATCTTGGGAGGGAATGGCAGATGTCAGGGTCCTGGGGGTGATGTCGGTCACCAGGTCCAGGCATCTGGTCAGCCAGGGTAAGGAGACGTGGGGATCTGAGGTTTGTCCCATCCCGGACTCTTTGGGGAGTGCTTGTCCCCCTGACTGGGGTCCCTGACCCCCCCCATATGCACAGCTGGCTAGGGAACCTTTCGTTTTTCCTTCTTCTTCCCATCCAGATCTTTACCTTGCAGAGGAGCTTCTGGGGTGGGGTAGGCCCCCAGCTGCCCCCCAGCATGCGCCCCCTTCCCGTGCCCACGTGCGTCTCCAGTCCCCGTCCACCTTCTGTGTCCCACAGCCTGGGGGTGCTGGGAACCAGGGGCTGCCTGATTCTGCACCCCCCAGTGGGCGTGACCTTCCTGGGCCCTCTCTGGATCGCTGGCCTAGGGCGCTGCCCAGAGCGCACTTGTCCCCACCGCTGGGCTTTATGCTGCTGACAGGACTACGCTGCGCCATCCCAGCAGGCCCTCCAGGACCCGTGTGCCATAGGAAGGCTCAGAGCATGGGAGGCATCTTTTCCCCCGCATGCCTGTCCAGGCAGACCTGTCTCCTTGCAGGGGCATTTTCGGGGCCACATGCACCCCTTCCGCTATG